TTCTATCTTTTCCTTCCCCTCCCTCCCCTTTTCTATTTTGAAAGCATATAAATCGATGGTAACTTAAACCAAAAATTGTAATGCTGATATTTCAGATGCCATGATTTTACAATGTTTCCTTTACTACCATTGAAACAGTGAAGTATGAAATGTTATCATTTATAATCAGTGTAATTTCAGGTGGTTTGCAGCTGATGAGAACCTGTGAAATAGAATGGTGATATCATTTTATACTTACCAAGGGAACTAATTGTATGAAATTTTTGAAATGACCGCTAAAAATTGTTTCTTAAATGAAATAAGATACACTGTGGGCAAACTAATAAAAATAAAATCAATGCTTTCCAGTAATACTGAAAAATCATCATTTGTAAATGAAGATGAAAGATGTTGAGTATTTTTCAGGCTTTGCTATTTATCTGTAAACCTTTTCACAAGTAACGGCTATCCGTGGAATTTCGTCATCAATTTAAATAGTTTTATTATTAATTGGATCATATACAGAGGCACGACGAGAATCAAGTAAGTGCAATTGATTGATTACTCTGTCAGTGATTCACACTTTGCTCAACACGTTTGAAAAATCAATAAAATTATGTCGAACAAAACCGAATGAATAGTTCAACACACAATCTTCAGGCAGTTGTGAAACCTAATTTCAAGTAATTAACTTATGACAATTTCAATACACTAAGTTTAATCAAATTAATTTTATCAATATTGCTAACTTAATCAGATTAACAGTCACTAATTAGCTGTCCTGAAAATAAATCACTTATATATATGGCATGTTTTAATCTTATTTATTGATAGGTAGTGATTGCCACGTATTCTATTCACTCGATATAACATAAATTATTGTATATAAAAAGAAAAAGACGTTAACATTTTTGTTTTCTTTATCAAAATGGGCCATTTACCCAGTGAACCAGGCTATGACACTTTTGCGCTTGATTTTCTGGAGACATCAGCATCCGGTAAGTTCACAGGATTCATTGAGAATTTTTACTCACTAATGATAAGCATCTTTTGAAACCTGAGCTATGCATTTGTCTGTTCAGTTAATTATATAGCCTTGTGGGATTTATGTAAATTGTCTGTTTCATAACTTAAATAATCACTCAAGTATAGTACAGATGAAAGCTATCGTGAATAGTAGAGTGAATGCCACAATAGATATTCCAGTTGCATAAAAATGCTGATAAAACACCTTTAAAATAGTCGTGAATTGGCAGAAGTTAGAATTCATGGGCCATTGGATCGGGTCCCGATGGCTTAATGGTATACGAGCTCGCCTTGTAACCAGAAGGTCCTGGGTTTGAATCCCGGTGGGTGCGTACTGATGAAGAGTCACAAACTAGGACGAAACAGCTGTCCAGTACTCCCAGGTTTTCCAGTGGTTCTCTAACTAGTGTCAGCTCATGATGAAAATCCTGTAACCAATCAAATCCCTACAAACCAAACTTGAATACCTTTAAAATAGTCAGACGTAACATCTGATATGATAAAAGCACTCATGTAAACACATAATAGAAAATCACAGAAGACCAACTACCTGAGAAAATTCAAAGCACAACTGACCGCCTCTGTTCTAACTATTCCAGCATATTTAATAGAAAGCACAGCAAATTTATTTTGCTATAACTTGTATACCCACTCCGAGAGTAGAGCTAACTGTACATGTAAAGTTCAAGGATGTATAGATCGAGATTATTGAAAACGTCCCTTATATTATTATTATTATTATTATAGCTTGACTCCAATAAGTAATTTTGATAATAGTATGGAATTTTCAGCATGTGATATCGGTAGCCCAAATTTAGCAGGCTGACCGTGGACATCAGGTATGCGTCGGCCGAGGATCTAACCCTGGACCATGTGCGTGCTCGGCAAGTGTCCTAACCGCTGTGCCACCGACGCATGTGTCTGGCATGACAGTATGGAGCTGGACTGATTCATAACTAGTAATACTAAATAAGTGGCAACTTTAGTACACGTGAATACTGCGAACAAAAGATAAAAATAAGTAGATGCTCAATGGCTGAAGACTACGAGAACCATTTTTTGCGCTAAATTTTGGACTAATAACTGCCAGGCGAACTTGAAACGCTGCTTTTAAAATCATTCGCATATGTGAGTAATGGCACAGTAGACGAAAATCAATTATATATACGTCTTGGTGCACCGTGATGGTGAGTCACAGTGTGAAATTGACTGACAGAATTCAGTCTGAACCAAACGAAGGGTTACTACCTAGTATCCAACCAAGTCCTAATACTCCTAAGATGTCTGATGCTTACGAATACTTATGAGAAAAATAATTTTATGCTGAAGAAGTGAAATATTATTTTATATTTTCATACCAAGTGAAACAGACCGTTAAAACTAACAATAAAATGAACACTTAGGCAGGATGAGTTAGACTCAAAGCAGATTTCAAGATTTTGAAATATTCAAAGTTCTTAAACATCTCCACACTTTTATTCCATGTATTCTTAGTTGATCTTCATCAAATGAAATGTCAGTCAATATCTCTGTGTTTATTAGGTAGAAAAGTGATACCACAGTGACAGAAAAGGACTTGTCATCTATCCAACAGTAATAAGCGAAATAAGTATACATGTATGTATACTACTCAACTAATGTTTGGTGAAAGTTCATGCATTAGGCAGCTGAGATTTTCATACACTTGTAAATTCAAATATCTATGATGTACTTGTAAATGCAGTAAGCACATAAACTCTTTATCACCGGTGATATACAATTTGCAGATCTTAAAACCATGTAGATCTTATGATATATAATTATATGTTGAATAATCCACTTTACATAGTTTGTATACTCTTTAACAAAAAAGTAATTTCATTTCAAGCAAAACACTTCTCCTTGTAATTACTTCCACGAAGAGATGTGAAGAATTTAAACATAATTATTCGGTGGCTTTCTAAATGACTTTGAATATCTGTATTCCTCTTTTTAATGCTAACGTCAAATCAATACCTCTATATGGTTCTGAAACTTGGCGTGTCACTGAAAGCACATTCAGCAGGTTACTACAGAATTTCATCAACAGCTGTATTTTCTCAATACTGAAGATAGAATGGCCGGGTAGAAGGGATAACCAAAAGGAGTTTTGACAGTGCAGCTAACAAATATACTACAGGAAATGGAGACGGGTTGAACATATGCTAAAGAGAACTTCAGTTGTTATCCTGACCCAGGCCTTCAAGTGTAACCTGAATGGGCAGCAACTAGTGAGACATCAGAGTGGAATATGCAGAAGATAACGTGAGGAAGAAATGAAAGCTTTTGAGTAGTTGGGAAGCCAAATGGAAATAATGGTATGGAGATGTGCTGCTGAAGTCGTATGTTTCACTAGGAATACAAGGAATTTACACGAATAATTTTACTACATTTACTTCATCTGTCATTGCAGGTTAATAAAGAAGCAGTTATGCATATGCTTCATGTGAAAAAACCCAGTTTAATTCTCTTTTTTAAAACTAAATAAATAATAGTGTAGGTCAAGTTTGTAATTGCTTATGCTATTAATGATCATAACTGAGTTTTATGAACTGAATTTAGTCATATGCCTCGATATCTTGCTTTTCAGCTACAGATTATTGACAGTAATGTACCCAGTTACAGCAGCAATTACTTCAGATATGGGGAAATCATTAATGCACCTACATTTGCATAGTAGATAAATTAACTTCATATACTGCCTGACATTCCTCATTATTGAATGGCCGATTGTGCAATTCTTATTATTGTTCGTCCCTTAACAATGTGTACTGTATGAATATCATATCTGTTGTTAGGAATAATCTGTATTTACAATCATAGGAAACATTTACATACAGACAGGTTAAATGTACTAAAACAAACATTCATTGCCACAAGTTTCAGACAATTTCGAAACTTACCTCAAAGCCGTCTGCTACATAAAACTGCCTAATTTCCCATAATCTCGACAGGAAACCACCTGAATCTTAGAAATGTTATAGAAGCTTATTGCTGTAACATATTTTCATACCATCGAGGGAAGTGGTCTCATCAACTAAATTTGATGCTGTCACATTGTATACTATTTATAAGTAGACGTAAGTAGTATATAGGGTGGTGTCTTCGGCAAAGCAGTAATAGTTCGTCTCACTGAAAAAGCTACTGAAGAATAAACGCAAAAAGAAAGTAACAAAACTGGGAGGAATCTAATAAGCAACAGACGACTACGAATAAAACATGTACAATACAGAATGAATAGTATCACTTGTAAATTGTGAAATCAGTGTAAGATTTATGGCTTTCTTGATGTTCTTTGTACTTTGTCCCATTCAGGAGTAGTTCTCTCCACACCAATCTTGTTCTGTTCAACAGGTTTTGGAAGGTCGTTTATTAGTTCAACCTTTCTACTAGTTAGTTGATCACGTATAAACAAATTGATGAAAATTGTCTTGAAATGAACTTAGTTAGGCGATGGCAGGTTGAGCAGATTGCATAGACAATATTAAAACTTTCAGCTCGTTTGGTAATTTATTTAATAAATTAAAGCCCAAAAATAATGCGATCTGGCTAAAGCATTTAAGACCGCTGTTTTTAAACATTCTACCTCAGGAAGAATGTCGCTACACATTAATCTTGACAACGTCAGTCACATCTTGAAAATTAGCGATTTACCGCTTCAGTTAATAACAGTTAGTTGACATAATTTTTTACACCTTATAGTGAATTCTCAGAAGGCTACTTAGTTTTTGATTACGTTATAAACTAAATGGCTCTCCAGAAGATCATTTTTCATTGGGGAAAAAACTATCAATTCAGTATATGAAATAACCAGAGACAAACTAACCTTCAGTAACAAAAGTGAGTGCTCAAATACTGAGAACTGGTCTTAAAAATATAGCCGGTAAATGAAATATTTTGGAAATATGTTTATACTGATATATTCTGGTTAATACAAAAATGAATGATTCAAATTTTCACTCTTTCCATCCCTTTAGGTACTAATGATTACTTATCATCTCCGATGAGTGTGTTTCTACTACTCACCACACTTCTTGGTTCAGGAGGAACCAGGGGTAATACAAAGTTGCAAATAGCTAATGCTGTTGGAGTTTACGAAGAAAAAGGAAAACAAAAAGCCGCGTCAAAGATTTTCAGTTCAATATACAAGAATTTGACAGAAGAAAAGGCTAGTGGAGCAAATATCATCACTATAGGAAACGGAATGTTTGTAAAAGACGGAGCTAAAGTGAAAGAAAAGTTTGTAACGACAATGAAAAGAAATTTCGACAGTGAAGTTGCTAATGTATGTAGATCTTCGATGTGTTGATATTTTTTTTCCAAGACTGAAACTTTAGAAAATCCTATAGCTGTTCATATGACTGACTGGCCTATTTTCGTGACAGGCATACTTCTTCCCTTTGACGGTGACATACATATATATGTGTACATTTGTAAGGCAGAAATTTGAAAGACCTGTCATATATCTACCTCATAAATGTATAACAAGCTGTGTGAAATAAATGGTACGAAAATTGCGCCAAGGATTCTGTCACTAGTGACAACCTTTCAAATAATATCAAACAGAGTGTATTGGGTTTTCGTTACAAATCTATCCAAGAAGTTTGCAAAGTTCCTTTATAGAAACAAAAAGAGTTATTTCACTCTGGTGTTTTTATCTGCCAACAGCTTTGACTCATATCCATCCCCTCGTACCACAGAGGTCTTTTCCCACAGCCTACACATTATCTAAAAAACATTTAAAGCTGTATGAAAAGACAAATCAATTTTTATTTTATATAACGTGAAGACTAAATCCATCTGATTTAAGTGTTTGGCTGAAAAACCAGTTTTCTAAAGAAACAGAATTGCTTGAACAAATTTATTTTTTTATTTTTGATTATAGCTTGATTCCATACCATATTTTTTGTAAAGGTATGGAATTTTCAGCATGTGATATCGGTAGCCCAGATTTTGCAGACCGACTAATTGATATCAGGTGTGCGTCGGCCGGAGATCGAACCCTGGATCATGTGCGTGGTCGTCGAGAGTCCAAACCACTGTACCACCGACGCACCTGAAATCCTAGCAGTATGGCAGTCAAACAAACTAGTAGTTTAAGGATAATATCTAGGAGACAAAGAGTTATGTTGTTGGCTCTGATTTTGCGTATAAATTCTAACATTATTTACACATAAGGCTGTTTTGTACATTGTAAAAGCAATTTGTAGTTACGTATCTACAGATATCGGACATGTTCATTCACACTATGCAGATGTAAAAGAATTTTAGTGTTCACAATAGCTGACGCTCAGTCATCGTTGTGTATTGTGAGTTATAAGTGAACTTCATTGCTTATTGCCGAGGATTTTGAGCAAAGATATACAATAATATATTAGAAAGTAATGTATCATATTAGCTAAACAGGCAGTGTTAAATGATGCAAACAGTATCGTGAGTCATACACCATAAAAAGTTTTCATGGGTTTATTCGTATACAACTAGAGATTGTGGAAATGACGACTAATAAAATACACGTCTGAATTTCAATCTCAGGTGGATTTCACTGCTCAAGAAGCTACTAGGAAAACTATCAATGCATGGGTTAGCAATAAAACAAATAAACTGATCCCTGAACTTTTCACAAAACCATTATCGACAGCGACTATTCTAGCTCTAATCAACACATTGTATTTCAAAGGTAAGTTATTTATGTTCACGGCTTTTAATATAATACTTTTGTTATTTTGTAGTATTGATTTTAATTCCTTACATGTAAAGCTTTGATGTTAGATGGTTAGAGGCAATTGGCAGGAAGTTTTGGACCTAGATTTAGTGCTAGCTGGCACTCGTCAGCAAGGCGTATCTGTAACCTTGAAGGAATTCATGTCCCTTCTCAGATTCGACGCATTTATATCTGAAGTCGCAAGTAATTAATTCAAAATTGATTGTGTACTTCAACTCACTGGAATACAAATGCATTACAATGAACAGAACATAAAAAGGAGAAGTTAAACTGTGTCAGCCACGTCAAAATAACCTAACAGTGACGTTGAACAATCAGTCAGAATCCAGATACGAAAAGGTCGCGAAATGGTTAAAAATGTATTAGAAAGTATTGCAAACATGATTTCACAGTGGATAATTATTTTTATGTCTTGTAGGAATGCCTCCCAGTTTCTTCAAAGGTAATCCATAGAGAAATCATATCATAGAGGTTTCGCGTGTCTTCGGGTTGTGAGGGCGATTGTTACTTCCAGCTGCCACCGTGGAAGTTGGTGGCCAGCCGGGAATGGCGAACGCTTTTTTTTTTTTTTGTTTCAGTTTCTCTGACCAGAGGGTTTCCCCCTTTTTTTTTTTTTTCAATGAAAATTGGTCCCCGCGACACATGTACCCATTTAGGTGACTGTAGATCATGGCACTCTGGCAGCTATCGATATTTCCGACTGTGTTCTTTAATCTACCTCAAAATCCTTAGATGGAGTTTTTGTGGATGCACGCGATTGCGTCCAAAAAATCGAAGGAGCGGTTTACACGCTGGTGAATATAACCCAAAGATGAAGGTCATTTATATCCTTTCCACTCGTCCATATATACATCGTTGTTACTGGCCTTTGCAAAATGTAATAGTACTTAAGGCGTAAGACATCCGACAGAAACAACTTAGATTTACAGAAAAAAGCACCTATTGAATGAGTTAAATGCTGCATCTATACGTAGTTTGTGAGGGTGTCATAGTAACTCCAATCAATCCATCAATTGACACAGTAATCAAATATTCGATCTTAATCCAACTCATTCAGTAAACCGATAAAGATAGGTGTGTTTTGTTTTTGACTGGTCACTCGTAACGTTCCTCCAGTCTAATCAGTTGTTCAAAATTAGGTTTTGATGGTCGTTGACTGTGGCTGCTATAGTTTAACTTTGCCTTCAAGGTGACTAAATTTACATCAATATGTGCATATACCCATATAAAATCTTTTCATTTATTTATCCGTCTGTTTCGATTGTGAATAAGCCTGACACTAACATAAAACTGCCCTTGTCACTATTAAACCGTATAATGCAGTTACATTTAACAGTAGCAGCACAGTGTCAGTAATCTTTGTAGTCGCAGTATACACCTGATAATTAGATATCAGTTAACGACTAAGGCCAAATAGTGCAACTAGTTACACCATAAGGTCGTTTAAACATGCATATAACTTTGACTTACAGAACGTAATTTGCGGGCTGAATAGTCTATCTGGTTAGAAACTCAGAGTTTCCAATAGGTGTAAAACTTCAGTCAATGGTGGGCATCCTTCTTTTTATTTCTTTACGTTCCCAGGGGAACATAGTGCTTCAAACTAGAGGCTTGAAGTTTCTGTAGCAGTGGTGATTATTTTTACAGGATGGGGTTGCTAGCCTCATGCCTAACCTTCCCTCTTTACCAGTTTTATTACTGGCTTACCAAAGTTAACGACTACATCGGTCGGGGGTCGAACCCCGGACCACATCCGTGGCCAGCAAACACTCTACCGCTGTGCCACCGACTCATGGTGGGCATCCTAGTGAGCGATTTCTCTCAACACTTAATTTAAAAATAGTGTGCTGTATCATACGAAATATTTAAGCGGCTTATTAAAATGCTGTTTTATATAGTAATGAGAACGTCATTTTGCAAATCAATAACTAAGTGGTTTTCACGTGTATCAAAAATCCTCCGCTAAGCAAAAGCTGATCACATACATTTCGGAAGGAATCTATATATCTGGCTGTAGTCTTGAGATTACCTCAATTTGATAAAAATGTCACATGCTGCATGTTTCAGACAATCTCAGTTCATTACTTGACACCAGTTAGAATGCCTAGAGACTAGAAGTTAACACGTTTCTATCAGGTCTTTTGACTGTATTCTAGAATACTACATATTTTAATGTTCACTGTGTACATTTAAATTCAAGTTTCTTTACAACTTTATTCTTCTAATGACAGGAAAGTGGAAAAAACCTTTTTCTAATCGTAGTACTGCTGTAAAGACTTTCAAACCATCCAATCAACCTATTATTAAAATATCAATGATGCATATCTCTGAGACGATTGACTATGGAAAATTTGAACATTTTAATATTCATATGATCAGTAAACCGTTCACTGTAAGTAAAAATAAATATTTGTTAATTTTATTTTCGGCTACAACTGTAAAACCAATTAAATTATGCAGACTAGTAAGCGCTTACACTAAATTAGATATAGAAGGATATTGCTGGGATATCTTCTAATGAGCTCGCCTTGTAACCAGAAGGTCCTGAGTTCGAATCCTGGTGGGTGCATACTGATGAAGAGTCCCAAACTAGGACGAAACAGCTATGCAGTACTCAGAGGTTTTCCAATGGTTCTCTAACTGATGTCAACTCATGATGAAAATCCTGTAACCAATCAAAACCCTACAAACCAACACTTGAATATCTTCTAATGAATTGGTAATCTTTAAATCGAGAAGAATAAGAAGCAGGATAGTGATCAACTACTTATTCTGAAGGGTAAAAAAATGAGACCAGTTGATTTAAAGATTAAGAAGTTCAGCAAAGATATCTTTTCGGCGATTTCATTTTCAAAAGCTGTACAATCGCATTTAAATACATAATTTTACATGGAGACAATTCTTGTTTGATTCTACATAATTATGACAGCGAATAAAAGGTGATAATTATTTCCAACTAGATATGGTTATACGAGAGGCTTAGAAACAAAAATTACGCAGGATTAGAACGGATATCAAGTGTGTAAAAATGAGCATGGAAACAAAATTGAAATAATCATTTTCAACTTGAGATGGGAATCAGGAGGTGCGAATATAGATTACAAGAGCCTTAGAAATAAAATTACATGGAATTTAGCAAATTACAGGTGTGCAGAAAGTGAGCATGGAAACAAAATTGATATAATAGTTTTAGCTTAAAATGGAAGTTAGGAGGTGTGAATATAGATTATAAGAGCCTTAGAAACACAAAATAATTGCACAGGATTAAGATATAATTGCAAATTTTTTTCTTTAAACGGATTATAAATGTAAACAGGAAAAGCATGGAAACAAACTTAAAATAAATAATAATAATAATAATAATGGCTTTATTCCAAACAGTATTTGTGGTACAGGTATGGAATTTTCAGCGTTCATTACAGTATTGCATCTAATTACCTCATGAATTTTATAAGGATTTAAAAATAAAGCAACAACAACAAAAAGAAAAAGAGAAATAAAATAAAAAAGAACAGCATTACATTCACATATTTAAACAGTGCACCACAGGATACGATATA